AGGCTCCCCGGAATCCTTGTGGTCCAAGTCCTCCATCCGCATGACAATCCTTGATGTACTTCCCGACTCCCGACGTGGAGACTGGACCCTTGAGCCATGCGTGGATAGAATGCTTCTATAAGCAGCCCCCGCGCCCCTATACAAAGCCTTTGTTCATAAACCGTGACATGTGTAAATACACACCACCCACCAATCAACTTGATACACCGAAAGCATCGTAAATACCAGCATGTGATAACATTAGCAAATTTGGTCGTGTGGTAAACTACAACTAGAACGTGACATGTTCTTCTGACAAACATGCAAGTGGTGGTAAGGTTTGTGGTATTGGTGCCGGCGCACGTCGGTGCCATGGTGGACAGTTTGTTGCTTTGGTCCATTGGTGTGTGGTGCGCGGTGATTTGGGTGTTGACGGTGGGGTGGGATAGCGGGGAAGTCTCGCCACATAAGCCCAGGACCAGGACCCTTGACGCCCTCCCCCGCCTCCAAGAAGCCAGCCGCCCCAGCACAAGCAGCGACCTTTGCTTGCAAGCAGCGGCCACTATTCATAAACAGCGGCCCTGTTAATAAATGGGAAAAAACAGCTCTCGCTTACGAGCAAGCGTCACATCTACAACACAACAAACTTTTCGAATAGACCATCAATGCAACCAAAATCAAAAACAAACACACCGACCAACAGAGAAAACTTCGACCTACGGCTGCCAATGATGAAATCACACTGCTGCCATGGGTGCTTCGCTCTCCAGCATGCTTCCGGAATGATCTGCTGCCAGTCGACTTCAGTCCTTTGATGTCACGTGCACTCGGTTCTGTGGTTCAGCGATGGCGAAGTGGTTCACTTCTCCATGCAGAACATCCACAGACTGTAAAGCACCTCAATATAGGAACCGACATTGCTTGGACTCAGTCTTGTGTGCATTGCTTCCTGTGGAAACCTTCATATCCGACTTTGAATTACGACGTCGGTTCCAAAATCTCCTGCAATTGTACCCTTCCCTGGAGAAATGTTCGTTGTCGATCGTTGTCACAACGACTTCGGATGTCCTGCATCACCTGGAACTCGACCTCTCTCTGAGACAAGAAGCCCAGAAGCCCTGATGCAGCTCACCCACCCCTCCACGCCACACACTTCCGTCGCGGATCAATCATATTCGATGGCGCGCTCCTGCTCGAAGCTCTTGCTGCCGGGGGCATTCCAACTTCGCTATCGATGACTGCGCTGTTTCTTTCCAAGTCCGTCGCTGTCTCAACGACGACGTCTCCGGCATCCCGAACGAACGTCTGAGACTAAAGAATGCGACGTGAGCGCTTTCACGACGGGCCTAAAGGAGCACTGCTAAATTGCCGCTCGCGGCAGTCTTGAACAAACTCGCACAGGCGGGCTGCAGTGCTGCGTAATGCTTGCAAGCATCAGCGATGCACCACAGACGGTTCGCGGCGCGACAGACCCCTGCACTACCCAAACTTTTCGCGAAATGTCCCTTGCTCAGGCTGGCCGAAGCCGCGAGAGCCGCCTTGGGCTAAGGGACATCACTGAAAACGCCAGGCAAAACAGGCACCTTTGGCAACCCGGTTTGCCTGAGTAACTAATGTAAATGAGTATGTAAATGAAATGAACTGTACGCAGGGATTGGAAATAAGTAACACATTACTTCTCGTGTGTATTTGTTTTTGTTGGGATTCACACATCTGTCGCAGAATTAATTCCGCAATCGGCTCCTTTAAGGCTAAACCATTACGAAAATCATGTGCTGCTGAGCGTCATCTCGATTCTCGGCGCGGTGAAAGGCCACAGCGAGGATGCGAACGAAAACTATTAGTTCACGTCCGCGTCCTCGCTGTGGCCATTCTGAAAAAAAATAGGCGCGCTCATGCGCGTTCCAAGACACGCTGCTCCAAGCTGCACCCAAGGCCCACGCTCGTGGGCTTCCCGGGCCATCTGGTCAGTAACTTGCAGAACACCACCACACTCCCGGCGTTCAATCCCAACAAGCGTTGATCGAACTGCCGGGATGATGCTCCTCCCCGCTTCGGCGGCTGCTCTCCATCTCAACCGCAGGCACTGCGTGCTGAGCTGTGCTGCCGTTGGGAGCAAACTAGAAGTTGGACAACGATTGTGGAGGTGGCTCCCTCTTGTTTTCAGGAACCGGTGGGAACAAGAACTCCGAAAAGCTAGAGCTCTGCACCGGCACTGGCTTGATGACTGTGGACGGCCCGGATTGGGCTGCCCTTTTCTTTCCCCGAGGCTTGTCTGCCGTTCCGGAGTTTTCGGGAGCCGATGCGGACCGGGGTCTGGGGCTGATTGACCTGTGGCCGACGTGCTCCGGGTCTTCTTCGGTCTGGGCTTCGTGGCATCACGAACCAAAATGGAGGAAGGCGGCGATTGCCAGTGAAAAGGCAATCGCCGCCTTCCTCCATATTGGTTCGCGATGCCACGAGCCTTTGCACTGGCACCTCAAATTGAAGCGCCTTATGACGGGTCCTGTAGTGCCTTTGACCAGTTTCGACGTGCAGATCTCCCACCTTCTCAGCCTCTTCATGCGGACAGCCTACCTCATCTGAGAGGCTTCCGAATCCTCATCTGAACACCCGTCTGAGTATTCGGATCCGGATTCGTCCGGATCCTCACACTCTTGGTGGAGCTTGGTGGCCCCGGTGCTTGGCACATCGAGGCTTCGCTGGGGAGCCACAAAGTTATCGTCCTGTCCGAGAGGAAAGCGCACACACAGAACCCACGCCTGTAGCCAAGCTACACGACAAACAATCAAGCCAACCGCAAGCTCCTCCTCCGCTGCGGGGGAAAGGGAAAGCCTGTGGATGCTTTCATTACTCGTTACGATTCAGACAACAAAGCCCCTCCAACGTGCGTAGCAACGAAAGCAAGGACCATGGTACAGATTGCGGTTATGAATTATGAACCAACCCGGCTACATATCTTCTTTCTAGGACTTATTTCTGCTCACAAAAGGACATCATGGAGTTGTCCGGGTGAACGGGTCGGGCAAAAACACTAGTGCCTGTGTGCTGCTGACATGCCCCCAGACTCTAGGTTTCCCAATGCCCAGCTTCTGTCTGAGATAAAATGACACGCTTCTGTCCTTGTCCAAGTCCGTGAGGCTCTTCTGCTCCACAAGTCTATTGCCTGCCAATCCCACCTTGGACCGGCAGGCCTGTGCGGCCTGTCCGGCCAGCATTGCTAGGAGTGCTCTGTGGACCTCCATCATCGCAGTCCGGAGAGTTCCCAGCATGTAAGTAGTCGGGGAAGCACCCTGGTCGCGAGACCGTGAGGACAAGAGCACGGCCTACGGCCTAGCCCATGGAGGAGTGGTACCACGTCTGCTGCTGCGCTTCCATGAAGCCAGCTCGGCACTAGCCCATGGATAAGCCCCCCCCGGCCCTTGCGGACTCGCACAAACCTACTACATCCTACTACACCACCTCTTGATGCGGATTGGGGGGTGCTCCAATTAACGGAAACCTTCTGCAAGCACGGCTCTCTCGGTCTTTGAGCAAATGTGGCGGATTCATGAGAAGAACGAGGCCAAGGGCACGGCATGCTAAAATGGGAATTCCTAAGTGCAATGTGCAAGCAATCACACTCTCGTCCTCACTGAAGGCCGTTTTCCATCCACTGCAGTCCGAGCCCACACCGGACCCAGATTCCACAGACTCGCGGGACCAGCTCCTCCGCCTGACACCCCAGCCTGACGGTTGAAATCAGCAGCTTGGCACGCGCACTCAAACTGCGGACCTCACGTTCCAGAAGTTCTCAAAGAGGCACACAAGAGCAGAGTCGCCTGGGAAGCAGAAGCAGCAGATTTTTGCCTTTTGCGTGAGGACTTGAGGAGTCTGCGACGTGGCGGCATTGCTGGCTGTACAGACAGAGATCGCATCATCCTCACAGAGGAAGACTGCACGCAACACTCCTGTTTCAATCTCATGAACACGCGACAGTCCGGTGCCGTGCTTTTCCCCCGCATCGCTCCATGCTTATCGGCCACAAGCTAGCAAGCTAGTGCCCTGCCAAGAACCAGTCTTTGACGTCGGACAGGAACCTGATCGCATCGTTTGCATACTGGGAGTCGGAGATGTCCGGGTGATGCCTCAACACGAAGGAGCGGAAGATGGTGCGGCGCTGGGAGATGGGCTGCCATCGAAGGCTCCGAAGCTCGGCCTCGATAGCATGAGTGACCTCGGAGGCTTCTGGATCTTCTGGGTGCATGAACATCGAGGCTGGTGCCTCAGCCGGCTGCCAGAGGAAGAAAGCTTCCTTCAGCAGCTGCTGCCGCTGCAAGCTGAGTTTACCCCTGCGCTGCTTTGTCCTCTGCTCCAGCACCCACGCACCAAGCTGGAAGCCAGAGCCCGTGATATGGAAGGCAGGGACCGTCCTCTTGCGGTGCTGAGCGACATACATGCGAAGTTCTGACAACCCTTGGGCAAATGTTTCTGTGTCTGGATCCAGCATGACGCCAAGACCTTTTAATCGGGCAACTTTATGGTCTTTCAATGCCCCACTTTCCCACTGCTGTCGCTGCTTCTGCATCCATGCGCCCAGTTCATGACCAAATTGCGTGGCAAGGAAGCGGACGTTCACCCTGTTGTGCCGATCCCTGTACGCCAAGAGTCGGCCGAGCCACATATCCCAGGGATCTCCCAGTGTCTCCACACCCCGAGCGATGGCGATCTCGGCCTGCTTCCGCGCATTGCCCTCGTTCACCAAACTGCGGAGCTCGAAGGGCAGCTCATCCCACTTCAAGCGTCGATCCTTCCGGCCGAACTCCACCGAGGTTCGCTGTAGGGCCTCCTCCGCTCGTTGATCTTCAATGGCAAAGGCCATCCACACGGCGGAGGCATGGTTCTTCGCCGCACCCGCTACAATGATTGAGCCTCGCGACTTCCCGCTCCTCCAGCGAGCCAAGCGCGGGAATTCTTGCGCCAGGTGGACATAGTTCGGAGAGCTTCCTGCAACAAGAATGGCATCTATGGATGCCTCTGGCTGGTTGGCTCCCGTTGAAACTGTGCAGCCACCATCTGTCTGAGCTTCCAGCAGATGTGCTAGTGCTGCCGACAACCGAGGCTGGTCTGGCACAATGTGTATTGACTTGATCCCAAGCTGAAGGTGCAAATCTGCCAGTTCTTGCGCCACATCCGTCACATTCGTTGAGCGGATTATTTGCAAGCCGATCGGCACTGTCAACCTGAGCCGCTCGGCATCCTCATGGGTCAAGCGATACACTTCAGGTCCAAACTTGCTCGGTGGCGCCTCTTCAGGAAAGCCAGGCTCTTGACCAGGGGCTAACAAAGCGCCGGGAGCCATTCCAAACAGATGTCTGCTTGACAGGAAGACTCGCCGCCTCGCAGGGATGAGGTCTTCCTGAGCAGCTAGCGCATGGAAGCCGCCTGCACGCATGACGTGAGCGTTTGCGAAGGTCATGATGTCAAGAGGCTGCTTGATCTTGGACTCCAAGATAGCCAGGCCAAGCTTCATGATGTGGCCATAGGGACACAGGAGGACCAGAGAAGAGTTCCTTCTCAAAGCTTCAATGACTTCTCGCTTCCTCACTGAAGGGTCTGACAAGTCCAGCACAGTGACCTCGGCAAAGTGCTCCTTGTAGAGTCTGCGCGCTTGTCTCACCAAGGGGTTTGGAAGCGCCAGCGCGGCCCGGAAGAATGACGGGCGGCCATTCAAACCGAGATATGTGTGTAAAATTTTCAGGCTGACCTGCAGCTCACCAGCGCCACTGGGCATCAATATAGTGGATGCGTTCGCTTCCTCGAGCGCAGAGATGGCAGCCTCCGCGGCTTGGGCCCACACTCGCTCGTGTGGGTCATCTTGACCGGGGTCAGCACTTTGGTCAAGCAGTGTCTCAGTCAATGTTCCTGCCCATCTCGTCTGTTGATCTCTTAAGCTTGGCCTTCCTGCAAGCCTCCGAGCTACTGGAGACAGGCCAGGGCCATCCAAGCCCTTTCCGATGAAAGTGTTTTGTATCCTGCTCCAGCTTAGGGCTGCAATCACTGCCAAGAGCCTCTGGAACTGCCACGTGCGGTTCGGCGCATCTCGGCAACGGTGCCGAGACATCCCGGCACCGGGCCACCGATGAGGCTCGCTACATCTGCTCAAAGCTGCTCTGCTGATGCCTTGCGCTTCCGCTTCGATCTACAAGTGAGTAGAAGGGACATATGTCTACGAATGGTAATCGCTGTGGACCGAAACGTCAAGACGACTTCCTGCTTGCGTAGCTTGAGCGGCGAAGGCCAAGGTGCAAGTCGAAGGATAGCAAACGTTCGAAGATATCACGTACTCATGCCAGCTGCTTGGAATAATAGCGAGACTAGGAACGGCAGCTTAGTGACAACTCAGTGGCGATAGTACTTCCAAAAAATCAAGCTCTCGGTCATCCGGGAATGTAGCTGTGCCCTTGAGGAAGTCCGGTCCGTGACCAGGCACTGCTTGCCGGTGTCTTTGCTGATGTCGTGAACATAGCAAGGAATCTCCTGATTTCGGCTTGCACACCTCTAATGTCAAACTTCTCCGAAACAGCACCACCACGTCCCCACAAGTCAGTGATGGTCCTGCCCCACCTGATGTCCACAACCTTTCCATTTCAAGCAAGGCTCCCAAGGACGTGGAACGTTCTCCATGTTCAGCCCACCTTCCTCACACGGAAAAACACGCTTCAGGGCGGCCTCAGTTCAGACGAAGGTCGCGGCAGCGCACGAGTGACATGGCCATGCACCGGACACAGTTGTTGATGAACTCCAACTCCAGGTCGACACAGTGCCTGGGTGCATAGACAGCAGCAGGAGCATCAGCTTGAAGCAAAGCAGTCGTGCTCGAGATGACTTCATCACAAACTGCCACACACCTCTCTCTTGATTGTTGGGCTTGTGGTTTGTGATATCCTCAGGGCTTGGATGCTGACATTCCAATCCGTGCGCACATGTTGGCGCAAGATTCACCCGGCTGCGCCTGCAGAGCCACAGGACCGAGCTTTCTCGAACCGACTTAAAAAGCTTCAAACACTTCAGTGTGTCCGTTCAAGCCGAAAAGCCAAAAAAGCCGCCCTCCTCTGTTCTCTTGCCTTCTCAATGCGGCGCAGGAGGTGCGGCTCGGCACGCTCGGCATCTGGGAGCAATCCCTGACCTAGTCACACACACTTTTGGGCGATGCACGTGATCCCGGACCTGCCGAGCGGGGCCCCTACTTTTCATGCGATCTGCCAGGTAGACTCGTGCGCCACTCGTCGGATCCCTGACAGGCCGCCAGGCAGGCAGGCAGGCCAGCAGAGTTCGCCAAGGCACACCACTTTTCAAGGCCTGGTGGAGATGACACCACGATGTGCAGCTCGAGGTTGGGCCTCATGTACTTGCGAGTAACCCCATGCTGGCACGTTTGAGTCCCAAACCTGCCTCCGTCAATTGTAGTTTCTGAGCAAGTTTCTTATAATCTCGGCCTTGGAATGACGATCTTGGTTGGAATCCTTTGGAATCTACAAGGCACGGTAAAGTATCCAGCAGGTCTGCTGTGGTCGGCACGGAAATAGGGCAGCACGTATGCCTCCAAATCCAGGCATCATCGAATAGCTCCGCTCGCAGTTGTCCGGCTTGTGCCGTACACTATAGAATTAGTGATCAAGGCCGACTTGCTGCGGCCTGGACCTGTCATGCCTGCACCGTAAGCATTCCGGCGTGCATGCTTTCCTCTGTGGCTGCATACATCGTTGCTGGACTTCGCTAGATCTGAAGAGTGAAGCTAGGAGGTCTCTCATCCAAACTAGAGAGCGACAGCTCCGCAGCGGATGAGGGGAAGCTCCTCCGGTATTGAAAACTCAATCTGGCCCTGACAGTGCTGAGTTAGTTCAACACCTCAATCATTGCAATTACCGATCTCAGGCAGGCCTTGTGAGGATTGAGTGCCATAAGACGGTCTGGGCCGATCACCTCTGCCTGGGCTCACGACAAACTCATTCAAACCTCCAAAGAGTGACACACCGTGTCGAAAGCTAGCAGTCACAACAGCGACGACATGCCAGCCTGGTGCAAACTCTGACGTATCTCGGCCTAGCACGGCGAGACCACCGCCACGCCAACTAAACGCGCAGGGTACGACGGCAAAGCTCAGCCCAGGCCTCGTAGGAGTCTTGTAGCAAGTACCCCAGATCGCCCAAGCTTTTAGGCTGCAGCCGGCTGGAGGGCATCCTGCACATTTACGACATCATCACAAGATGCACCCAAATCTCGCGTTCGACAAGGATGGACAGTCCCGTTCAACTTCTTGGCCAACGGAGTGCCGGCCTTGACCTCAGCAACGCAAGCCGGAAGCCCGGAAGCCCCACCAATGCCAATGAGAAGCATCCCAGACCGTCAGGCTGCCGGCGTTGGTGCCACGGGTGTCAAAGTGGTGAGTCCTGGAGCTTGAGGGTAACGTCGCAACGCGCGTGAATCACCGCTGCGAAGATAGCTGGAGGCACTCGGCGCCGGTTTGGCACGTGATGGTTTTTTGGCACTGCATGCCCGGATTCAGCGCAAACTAAACCGAATCCGCCACAACATCTGCAAGCATGTGTTACTGCGTGTATGTACAATTGTGTATGTATATGTAGACATACATACATACATACATACATACATACATACTATATACATACACACACACGCGTACAGACATACATACATACATATATATATATACATATATATATATACATGTGTATATATATACATATATATACACATATGGCTAACAGCTAAAAATGGCGGGTCCTTCGGGGGGGTAGCATATATATATACACACACACACATGTATGTGTCTTCTTTGTTTGTTTGCACTTACACCAACATATTTGCACGTACACCACACACACACACTTGCAAACCAGTCATCCTTTCTTAGATGGATGCTGTTCGTGCTAGTTGGTTACATTGCTTACATTCTTCCCCTTCAATCATATCTTTGTTTCACTCTAGGGCCAATCCGAAAGCAGGTACACCTCAAGCATCCTTGAGTGCTTCCACCACAGTTCTTAGCTGGCACGGCTCGAAGTGTGGCGCCGTGCACCCTGCATCCTAAGCAAGTACATCCTACGTCCTAAATGCTATGAGGCACGAGCTTTACCCACAGACACACACACCCACACGGGCGTGCGCATACACGCATATCTCTTCTATACATATATATATATACATATATGTATGTATGTATGTATGTATGTAAATACATACATACATACATTTTTCATCTGTATATACATACATATACATATACAGATACATATACACATGCATATGCATATGCACATACAT